ACCTCTTGTCAGCTCCACCAGTGATTCCCATTTACAGCCCTCCTGCCCCCTATTGTCAGGGCAAGGGAATCTTGCAATTCAATATTTCCCCTGCAGAGAGGTGTGACCTTGTGATTTCCAGAGGTCAGTATGCAGTATAGAATTGACTGGAATGCCTGGCTGGGGAGAGGCCTCTCCTTCCTGTCCAGTGACACACATACCATGCATCTCTGATTATCGTTCAGTGAACTTGCTTCCAAAGTAGTCCTAGTCCACTGCATGGTTTAATATAGATGCTCAGAGGAGGCATGGGGCTGCCATAGAGCTGTAGAAGTAGATGTTGGAAGGACCCTGTTAAGTCATCCTGTCTATTCTCATTCCTGTGCAGAACTCTTCCCTACAGTACAGTTTTGAGTGTTATGTCTTGTCCAGGTGCAGATGGTTTCAGAGATGGGGCTGTGTTTCTAATTCCTGCAAGGAATCACTTTGTACTTCAGTATAGCAGGTCTAACAAGTCAAAATGTGAAATGCAGGGGCATAACTAAATGGTGGGGGAAAGCCCCATGCCTGGCTTTCGTCATTGCTTTATTTCCTCACTTCCATGGGTATTGATTTATCAAAAAGAAGGTAATAATTAAAAAATAATTTCTCTTTTTGCTGCGGCACTGATCTTATTTCTCCAGGAGACTACATTGTATTGTGCTTACAGTAGCTTGGTACATGCAGATGCAGAGTACAAGCAGTTTTCTCTGCTGTGCTTCACTCGCAGCCTTCTCCACATTGGAGTTGGACAGCATAATGAAACTGGCAAGGTCCCTAATCTCCAAAGTGCTCCGCAGATCTCATCAATTTCACTTGGCTACTCTGCAGTCTTCAGATTTTCCATAAACTTTTACTTGGGGATTTGATGTGATTCTTTTGTGTCTGAAACACAAATTAAAACTGAAAGCCAGAATGTTATTCTTGACCTCTAATGCTTATTATACCAAGCTAACATTAAAAAAACACAACTGTATCTGCCTTTGGGACTTGTAACTTAGCAGCTATCATTCTGGACATGGAAAAGTGTGCAGTGTCTTTCTAGATAAGGCCAAGTAGAGATACCTTGAAGAGTGTGGGTGTGGAAAGCAGGGCGTTATCAAAGTACCTCTCCTTTCCCCCCAGTTCATCCCCTTTACAGACTACACACACGTCTAGAGACGCAGGATTTTTTTCTGACTATACTTCTGTGCACTCCTTTAAAAACAGCTCCCAGGAAAAGCTCTTTTATTCTGTCTAAGTCTTTAGCCGTTTGTATAGAGGACCTAAGCCTTGTAGTAACAGTTGCAGTTGTTCTTTTTCAACAGGTGGAGCATCATGGTGTACGAAACCAAACTCCCTCGACAGGCATCCACCTCCACCATCACTGAAGATTTCAATGAGGATTCTGAGGTACGTAGCCAGTTTCAAAGGGCAGGGGGAGACTGGCAAGGGGTTCTGTAATGAAGGATTGGCCCAGTGTAGACAAGGCTGGGGGCTGCAGAAGAAAACAGAATTTAGATGAAAGGCACATGAAGTGTCAACCATGCAATGAGCTGTGGGTGCTAAACCAGGACGTGGCATAGTAGAGAAGGCTGGGGATGAGGCTGCTGAAAGAACAGACTCCTAATCAAGCACAGTAGGGTGATGCAGAGAGGAAGAAGTGTCAATGCAATGGAGCAAAGAGCTGTAGAAGTGGATGGGTTGGGTTGGTGGGTGTGTGATTGGCTTTTCTGTATTTATCCAGTAAGGCAGAATGCTGGTGGGGCTGCATAGCACAGCACTCAGAAGTATTTAAAAAGTTTTATCCCAGATGAATATTTCTGAGACTGTGCTATATGTTTTTGGCAGCTTTAGGGTCAGAATTAGTTCCCTGATAAGACATAGGTCTGGAGTGACAGGTGGATTCTTGAGCATGGGTCTCTCCTATGGAATCAGAGAGAGTAAATAGAAACCATGGTGTTGCACCTTTGCTTTTTGGAATCCAGGTACACCAAAACAATGTAGCATGTTGTAATTATCCATATACTATGGATCTACAGGTAACCTGGAAAACAGTGATCAGTAGTTTATTTCTGCATGTCACCAGGTACAGAAAATTCTCTTCTATGAAGACTCTGTGGCTGCTCATTTGTCCAAAATCTTGACTTCTGACCAACACTCTGTGGTCATCTCCTCTGCCAAGTGAGTACTTTCAGCAGTACCAGAGGGGGTCAGTCATGTTGAGAATCAAGGAGAAATCTGTGCATGACTGTTCTCCCTACATTCTTTGCCTAGGGTGCTTTGCGAGACGGTAAAGGATTTTGTGGCTCGAGTCGGGAAGGCATATGAAAAAGCAACAGAAAATTCAGAGGAGTCGGAGGTCATGGCCAGGAAGGTATGTTGGCAAAAGAGCACTTTAGATGCAGAAAGCAATGAAAGAAAATAGCTCTGCTGTCAGCTGGCAGGTGTGTGTCAGTGAAACACAGCAGGTAGGAGCTGGGCTGGTACTGTTCAAACCTTTTGCTTTCACTTGCAGTGCTCTGTCCTGAAAGAGAAGCTGGATTCCCTTTTGAAGACATTGAACGACGAATCACAAGCCTCTTCATCTCTTCCAAACCCACCTCCCACCATAGCAGAGGAGACAGAAGATGGTGATGGATCTGGCAGTGCCTGTGATTCTTCTAGTGACCGCTCAATGGGATCCTCATGCACTGCCAGACCCCAGATATTCCGGCCCCGGGAGCAGCTAATGTTGAGAGCTAACAGCCTGAAGAAAGCCATTAGGCAAATCATCGAGCACGCAGAGAAAGGTAACTCCTTGCAACTTTTTTATGTTTGGAAATGTACCTTACTTTTGCTCCAGAGGGAGCCAGGATTCCTGATTTTAGAGGAACATCTTCCAGTGAGCCTGCATGCCCTTCACTACATGAGGAAGGTTATCTCTGGAATAGACAGACCTTCTGCTTCCATCTTTCACCCGTTTGAATGTCATTGCCAGCTAATGGCTGTTAGTGGCTAGTGTGAATTAATCACTATTCTCAGTCTAACTCCTTCTAGATAGGGGATGCTCTTCATATTGCTCTGTCTCCCCCTCAGTGTAGTTTCATTTCCTTCAAAAGGCATCAGCCAAGAAATCCAACCCTATCCTTGTTAGTTAGAAACCTGAGTGCAGTTTAACTTTAAACCAGTGTTTCTTAACCTTGTTAGACTCAAGCCCCACCTCCAAAAATGCCAGCTCTCAGCTTTCACTCTTTTTTTTTTTTGTTACAGAAAAATAATAAATTTTCTGTTGCAGACAACTCAGAACACGACAGATCAAAGAGTTTTTGGCATTGTGAATTCCTGTTTGAATTCTCTGGGTTTATCTTGTGAATCATCTGTAGGAGTTTGCACACTTAAGAGTGCTAAAATTGTGTGGCAGCCCACACCCTGGTTGAGAATCACTGCTTTAAAACCAAGGAAGTATTTATTTGCATATGACAGAAAGGAAATGGGTACACAGACTTCAAAAGGATGTGTAAAGTCCACATGCACCCAAACAAGTAAGCCCTCTTGGAAAGCAACTTTAAATTCAAACCAAAGTTAGGGCTCAGGTTCCTTGGATTTATAGCATGCCAGTGATATTCAATTCAGTCTCTTGTCCCCACAGCTGTGAGAAGTTGTGCCTGCGATGGAAAAGACCTCTCGATTACACACACAGGATGTTTAGATTTCTTGAGGCAGTACACGAGCACTTGACTTCACCATCCCTTGAACAAACTACAATTACATTTCAAACATATTTGATTTAAGTTCTCTGAACAGTTTCATTTCCCAAATATACACGTCTCTATCCCTTCCTTCCTTTTTATTGATTTGCACAAACTTTGTCTTTCCTCCAGTGTTTCAGATGACTTGTTGCAGGGGTATCATATTCACCCTGCTCCCTCCTCCTCCCCAGGCCAGATCCAGACCATGGGGCTCCTGACAGGCCAAATCTGGACACATCAGTGACTGCAGGGGTTAATGCAGTTGTCACTCACCCCCTGCTGCCAACACGCATCACCAGTGGGTCTTCATATCTTAGATTTTGGCAGCAGGCCCTGTCCCCACTTGCCCTACTCCTGAATTTCAGGCCCCTTTATGAGCCCCGTGGGTCACATGACATGGCTCTGTGAGCCAGATTTGGCCCATGAGCTATAATTTTAACACCCCTGACTTACTGTATTGTTATCTTGTTTTCCTGTTATGTAGTTTGTGTCTGCTTGGTTAACAATTCCAAGTAACACCTCATGCAAATAAAGTTTATCCTTTATATATAGTGTGTGGCTCAAAGGAGAAATTCATCCTTTAAAAAACTACTTCTCTTTATAGCTAACATTTAAAGTTGCATGGGAAAAATTACAATCCATCACGACCTTGTTATTTATAGTTTCAGCAGAGAAGTCAAGAAAATGATTAGGTCTGGTGACCCTCATCCCAAAACTGAGTCCTCTGGTGTAGGGATAAGCCAATATAAAGGGCATGGGAAAGTTTCAGTTGTCATTACCAGTCATTGACAGATTAATTCAGGACCTTTGGAGCTTTGTCCTACCCTAACAGTTGTTTAAGTCTGTGGGAGAATTGTCATTGACATGAATAGGAACCAGATCAGACGTTTTTGTCCCTTTTGTGTATGCAGATTTTTTGTTTGTTTGTTTCTTTTGTTTGTTTTTTGGTCTTTTATTTAGTTTGCTTTGTTAGGGAAGCAGTTGGTTCTATTTAGAGACTGTCTGGAGGAGTTTGTGTGGGTCACCTCATTCAAGATGATGAGACAGCGTTTTGGCTGGTTTCCAGCATGCAGTATTGTGTTTTGTTGCATTTGTCAGCCTTCCCTATCCCTTTGTGCTCTAAGGTCATAGTTGTCTATGACATCTCTTTGATTTCTCTCCCTGTGTCTCCAGCTGTTGATGAGCAGAATGCTCAGACACAAGAGCAGGAGGGCTTCATCCTTGGGCTTTCCACCTCTGAGGAGGGAAAAGAGCTGAGGAATGAGGATAAAATCTCCCTAGAGTCATCACAAAGTGGCAACTATGGAATTTCCAAAGGGAGGAGCCATCGGAAAGGTACCACTCATGGCCTCAGGGTCCTGCATTTCCACAAACTGAGATTTTGCTTTTCTTAGGTGTGTTAGGCTATTTCTGTGCTTGTCCCTTTCCAAACTTGTTTTCTTCAGCCTGGTAGGGACGATAGCTTCCTCTCATCAGATTAAAGTCCTTAAATATAATTCTGTGTGCTCAGTCCTCTTTTAATACAGCCTTTTTCCTGGAATCCTTTTGCCCTACCTTGGAAGGTTGGGTTAGGACCGCTGCACACAGTATCAGAGACCAAGGAGCTTGATAGGCCTTTCATGACAGCAGCAGTCAGATGTCACAGTTCCCTCAGCAAAGCCCATAATCTCAGATACTCGTAGATGTCTTCCAGTCCACCCATCCCCTGACATTTTCTTTCTGGGCCCTCCCTTTCCTGTTCAGATAATGGAGCAAGAGGTCAGTTCGCTGTAATCACTGTTAAATGAGAAAGCTGTAAGAAAGCCCAGTTCACTGCAAGTAAACTTGGAACTTAACTGATTCTGGGAGACAGATGCCCAAGATGATTGTTTCTGGTTGCAGGGGACTAGATTTAATGCAATCCTGTGTTGCTCTTTTCTTTCACCAGACCCCTTCCCCCTCCATTTCTGATACTAGTTTAAGGTATTTTTGTGCCTTCAGTTTGTGTCTGTGCCAACAGAAACACCTCTGTTGCTTCATGATTGATTCCATCTCATTGCTTTGTATTGGCAAGGATGTGTGGATGCTGGTGGTAATTCCTAAACTAGTGTGTGTCCTCTACTCCTTGCTGCCTGTGCAGTGTGCTTATGGGTTTGTTTGAATAATGCATACTGTTTGTCAATAGCAATGTTTGTTTTGTATTTTATAGTGTGTAAGTCTCCCTGTGAAAGACTAATAAACAAAGGAAGTTTGTCACTCGGCAGCTCTGCATCTCTTCCTCCCCAGACAGGAAACCGGGACAACCTGCCAATGCTGAACACAAAGATCCTTTACCCACGTGAGTGTAATACCCACCCCTTCCCACTCAGGCAGCCAACTGGGCTAGGGGTGATAACAGCATAGTCTCAAGTCTCCAGCTAAGAGCATGCAGCAGTTCTTCACAGTATCTGTTCATGAAGAGAATCCATTGCCTAAGCCAAGCTGCAGAGGAATCTTTTCACAGATAACTTTCCACTGGTCTGGAGAACAGCAAAGACATTGTCGGAGGATTAGGAAAGATTATAATCACCCCCACCTTCTGTCTGAGACTGAGAGGGAGTTACATGGATGCAGTAAAGAGAGGGAATGAATTGCATAAATGTAACATGCTTGACATTTGCTTAACATGTAGTTGATATGTCTGGCACTGCAGAACTCTCCATGCAGTGCTATACACTGCATTCAAGAAAGACCCAAGGGTGACAGGTGGCCTTCCCAAGGCAAGGTTGAAGTCACTGGTGGTGCTGTCAGCTTGTTTTGTTTCCATCTCTGTTTCTGTTGTAGAAATGTTGGTATCCACCCTCTGAGTGTTTTACCCCTGTGAACAACAGTCCTTACTTGTTTGTGTGAATTGCTTTGTGTCGTGTCTAGGAATAGTTGGTTTTACATCCTCCCTGCAAATGTCTGGCATTGCTTGATGTGAGGTGCAGCCTCAAAACCCCTCTTTTGTCCCTTCGTTGTAGCCAAGCAGACTGCTCAGTCTTGTCCCCTGCCTCTCCAGCATCAAAAAAGAGCCACTTCAATAAATTTAGTTCAGTCCCCCATTTCCCTAACATATGCAGGTTTTTATTACTGCCTTGCTTCTGGTGCTTATGCACATAGCCCTTTCCTCCCAAACCTATGACCCTTTGCCATGGCAAGAGCTCAGTTACAGACTCTGGCCATGTTGGAGAATGTTTTCTCTTCCTTGCTGGGTCCTTTCCAAATAGAAACATAAAGATTTTTTTTCTTTGTTGCTTTCCTCTCAAAGAATGGTATCCAAATCCTGTTTAGGATTGAGCCACATGATTTATTTATCAGGTGCCAGACATTTTGTTTTTCCATTGTATGGGGCCAGTGAAGGTTGCAGTTCATGTCTCAACCCTGTTCTGGTGCCTCTGGGAGTAAAATATCAGTTCTTTTTCATTAACCCATTCTGGCCTCCCCTATTTAATACATTCTATGAGATACCTTATATGTTATTCTCCTTTCTTTCCCT